TTTTCCTTCCAGAGCTTGGCAAAATAAAAACTTTTCACACATACTTCTTCGCAACTGTACATTACAAATACGAGAATCTGAGCTAAATTTGCATCATTTGTGGTTTCATCAAGTTGTATGACGAATTTTGAACGGTATTGGATGTGTGTTATCAATTGCATTTTTATGTCAGCTGAGGTTACATCTATGCACCTTATTATTGTCACGTGATAAAGAGATAGACTTGAAGGCCTTTCCATACTTCTCTCAATGCATGATCTCACACATTTTTATGGCAGTATGAAGTACTAATATCTCTCCTATATTGTGAAGCTTCATGCTTTTCATAATCAACTAAGATACTTCCGAAGAAGCTTTCAAGGTTTTTGATTGAACAGTGACCTGATTTTCAAGCAAACTACTTTTCCCCTCCAATTGTTTTATCCACATCTTCAGTGTTTGGTTTCCAAATGCCTTGTAAGTTTATTTGGCTTCATGCTGTCATTAGCTAAAATCTGCGAACAAATAATGCACTGTGGCTCTTCCTCCTTATTAAGAACTCTGTAAGTGAAACCGAATTTTGATTAATCCTCTCGATACTTACGCACTTTAGTTTGTGGTTTGGTGTTCTGTTTACTGATAAAAGCAACAGAAACGGAAACAGAAAAAGTGGTTGGTCCAGCTAGATGGCCATCAATTTATTGCTCTTCATATTTGTTTATTTCTGAGCTGACAACTGAAGAAACAAGAGGTAATTTTCTGCCGATAGGTAACCCACACTTATTCGTGTTTTTGACAAATTAGCAAATGTGAACTGATGTCCAAAATTTGAAACAAACAAACTGAAAAATGTGTAAAAAAAAACGATAAAAAAGTCATGATATCTGGGGCATCCAATCAATAAGCACTTTGCATTGATAGGTAACACTCACTTATTCGTGCTTTTGACAAATTAGTAATTGTGAACTGATGTCCAAAAGTTGAAACAGACAAACTGAAAAATGTGTAAAAAAAAAAACGATAAATAAAGTCATGATATCTGGGGCCATCCAATCAATAAGCACGTTGCATTTTTGCATGAAATGTGGCTACAGGCTATATTCCCACATCATTTAGTTAATCACAGCAGTAAACGTTATGTTGAATAAAGTAAAATGGTGCTAATAACCTGAGAAATGATTTTAGAGTGACAATCATGACTTTTTTCCATTTTTAACATTTAAAATATAGTGCCTTTTTAATAAGATAATGTGTGATTTGTTAATTTTGGGTTTGTTTTTGCATTTTTGAGATATTTGATGTCCTTTCCCTACACCAATATTTTACCTTCATCCCAATGACCCTCAAATTTAACCAGTTAGTATATCTGGGACTAGACAAGCTGTATTAACTTTTGACATTACAAAACTGTTATGTATTGTTTCCAATAAAACAGGTGTGTGTTTTAACTATAAAGACAAACAGCTGCAATTGTTTTTGTTGTTGTTTTTTTCACAGAAGAGAAACAACATTGTATCAAACACCTACACCTTAACGAGGTTACTCTAAAACTCATTTATAGTAAAAAAGTAAACAACTAACCTGAGCACAGTAAATTTAGTGAAAATTCAAACTACAAATTACTTAAAAATGTTGTTTTCTTCTTTTCCATGCTAATTTTGCAATTTTATTCTGCACACATAGTAGGCACGTTGATATGGCACAGTACAAATCACAAAAACAGTACATAAACCTTTATAGAATGTATCGTTTACTGAAGTATGGACTAACTTTGCACAAAACATAACTTATAAACACATATAGAGCAAAATATTAGTGTGAAGACTTAGATGTAACTTTCTCTTTATCTACCATGAAATAATACACTAAATATAAGGATTTTACAAAAAAAATAAAATGCTTCAGCAAATTGATTTGTCATCACAGAAGACAATTAGTTTACGTATTCAACTCTTTCAAGTTAAAGATGCAAGTCACCCTGATTTACCAGATTATAGCCCAAATTTGCTCCAAAACTAGTCCAATTTTTTCAAAATGAAACTCTGCTTGATATAAAACAAAGCAATGAAATAAAAAATACCTAGACTAAACTTGAAAAAAAACTACAAAAACTTCAGCACCAGTTCATCCACACGTCATTATTAGCAATAATAGTGACCCGACTTCCCAGTTTTATAATAAAGACGTCAAACTGTCTAACACGTTGATTCATGAATGTAACAAGCCTAATTGTCTTGCTCATAGTTGTAATATGCACTCTCCTGCCTCCAAACTCTCTCAAAAGTTCGATCTGTGCATATTGAGAAACCTAGGTCTGCCAAGTCTGTATGTGGAAATAGTTAAGGCAGTACCCGTGGTCAAAACACACTTTACACAGTGATGTACTGAATTTTATGACTATTTAATAAAATAAAGAAAAAAGAACTTCTACTTTCCATTCATTTTTCACAGACACATGTCTAAAAAGTTTCAAAGTAATGTTAAAACATAAAAGAAGTATGTTTTAAAACATTATGAATAAATCCAGGTATGAAGTAGCCTCTTTCAAGGGGAATTGGATAAAGTGAATAATAATAATTAAAGATTTCTTGGATGTATAATTTGACTATTTTTGCTCATTTGTTTTGTGTCTGTGACCAAAAAGTAGTTGGAATTATTTCACAAACAATTCCAATGTTAATATATTTGGAAATACTATAGAACAGTTTAATAAATTTAAATTAAATAAAAGTTAGATTATTTCAAACTTGTAATAACCATTTTGAAATTAAAAGCACTGACTGGGCTGTCCCAGTATTTTTGGTTCGAAAATCTAGCCACCCTAAGCAATAAATTCTTATGAAAGCTTTGAAAATACAACCAATTTCATAATCCTTTACTACCAGCAACCGGATCACAGTGTGATCCCTTTACTATAATGCTAATATGTCCTATGAACATAATGAGGTGGCAGTTCCCGAGGCAAAAGCCAAAGTCATTAGGGGAAAACTGTACACTAAAATGCACAGCTATTTATTATTACTAAACAAGATCTTTTAAAAATAGACCCCCCCCCCCAAAAAAAAAAAAAATTACTCGCAACTCCTTAACATTTCCTGTAGTTATTTTTCCAAGTAGCAACACTGGAACTGCTGATTTAGCCTGATATTAATTATGTGATCAGGCTTCTAGTCTTTGTATAATTGGAAATTCACTTGGGCTTCACCATTGTATCTAGTAAAAACACTCTAGGATATAATAGTAGGATTACACATCGATTTGATAGGTTTTGGTGATTCTTCTCCAGCAAAAAAAAAAAAAGTATAATAATAAAAAAAATAGAACAGGTAAGTTTTGTAAATGCTACATTTTTCACTCTTACTAATAAAACTGTTGTGCTTTAATCATGTTTTACCTACTAAAATATACTTTGTCATAAAAACTAGGTGTAACCAATGATTACAAACTCTTTACAAAAGTACTTACCACCTCTATCATAAACCATTGACAGTAAAACGCATGCGTATGGTGTGAGACAATTGTCTAAATTTGGTCTTTCTTGTCATGTTCTTCTCATAAATTATGCATGTGGAGCAAGATAATTTAAGTAATATCACTTGCATTTTTTGGTTATTTTTATAACAATTTAGTATTGTTTATATCATTTAATGATAGTAATTTTTTCGTGTGCTTGTTTTAGTTCAAAAGTACTACTGCTTATAGTAGCTTTAACTATGGCCTTTCAGTTTCAACTATCATAATAGCACTATGTTATTTTTAGGCAACTAGTTAGTGTTTATTTTGAGTCTTGTGATCGAAATTAATCCAAACATGGTTTCTAATTACATCTTAGTGTTTTTACTAGGTACGGATGAAAAGCCCGAGCGACGTTCTGATCAGTATCTGTTAGCTACAACCTCCATGGACTGTGTGGCATCAGCATACATCAAAGGCTTAATTCCCTCGATATACACCATGAAATAACACAAACAATATGCTAAAAACTAGATGTACTTTCGCAGGGTCCCCAAAAGTGTTTTGTTTCAAGAGTAAATAATACCAAAATTAAGAGTAACAAATACTTTTATTTCTTGCTTTGAAGTTCATATGTCATGCTGTGTTGAAGCCTAAGACATGCACGTTCTAGTGACGTCACAACAGTAAAAATTGCAATGTTAAGCATCTCTTATGTGACACCATTTTAGTGTCTACTGACTGACTGATAGACAACACACTATTGCAAAGTGGTGCATGGAGATAAAATAGGTGACCTCTTCAAGCAGCCTTCAGCCCCATTTCAAGGAAATAAGGATTTTGTTAAAAATAAAATGTATAGAAGTTTTCAGCAAATTAATTTGTCCATGCAGTGTTTTAATTTATGAGCTATTCTAAAAAGTTTGTAGGTGATCGGCAAAGTAAAGGAGTGAAGAACATCAGCTTTTTGGTAATTAATTAACTAGAGAAATAAAGCCTAGTTTATAATCGTGGAACATATTACTCTTTATAAGTTTTGAAAATAAGTGGAATTTTCATTCATTTGTTATTTGGATTTAAAAACTATTGTGTAAAGGAAGTTACAGTACCTTAACATTTTTTTTCCAATAAATACGTCACTTAAATTACAGTATAACTTAACAAATTATTGGTGTGAAACTTAAAAATAAGCAGCAATATTACAGGAGACTGTAATCTTGGTGGATCAATAATATTGGATTTGTCTTAAAGCTACATTGCAAGCATCTTCTATGAGAATTTATGTCAACAAATCAAACTAAACTTGATCATGACAGTTGTTTAACAAAGTTTCTTTACCAAATTCTAAAATAAAACAAGGAAAAGAAAAGATTTATCAAACAAAATTAAGGACCTAAATCCTTTATTAAAATTTCCATTGATGATTTAAAATCATTTCCGTGGAATAAGATTAAATTCTAAATTTTTTAATAAAGTTTCAAGATATTTATTATTCAGTTGAAAATTCTGAAATTCTCTGTAGAACTTTTGTGATGCCAAGATCAACCAATATAATAACAAAATCATTATGCAATAGATTCAATAACATTACAGTTTATTACAAAATTACTCATTCAACACCCTCATTACAATACACATACAATTATTCAACAACATATATTTTCACATTAGATATGCAACTGCCACAGATTCTTCTTTTGGCATACAAAACCACAGAAAATATTGCCAACTTCTGGTACACCCTTGATGACTTAAAGCCTTTTTAACACTATAGCTGGTATAAACAATAATATTTTAATGTTAGTTCATATGATAGGCTTACTGATGGAAAGAGTTAATGAAATAAACCTTAAGTAATTATTATAGTGATTCTACATAATCAAGGGCTTTTTGTTTGACTTGATTTACCATCTCTTCTGATCCATACTGTTTTTCAAACTCTAGGTATCGTTTGAAGAAGAATTTCATCTTCTTTGCTGACAGCTTTAAGGATATTACTCTTTCAAATATGTGCCTATTTAAAAGGGAAAAAAAAAAAGCAATTATGTGGAATAAATTCATATTCTTAATTTCAAACTGTTGAAAGAAATTAATAAGTAATTATCTATTTTCATTCTGACTATATTTTAGAGCTGTACATTATTTACACAAACTCTTACTAAGATAAATGTGCTGTTTTTAAATGGTAGAGGTAAAATAAAAAACTGAATAACTAAAAGAAAAATGCATATATATAGCAGTAGAAAAAATAAATCAGTACTTTTTATGTATTTTGATGCTTAAAACTGTTTATCCAAATACTTTCCCTAAAACAAAAAATCTCTCATAGCTTCCAATACAAGATATGAAAAACGTAATATCCTATACCTAAACAACCAATCAAAATGTGCACATCTATAAACTACAGCTCAGAGCTAATTTTCACATCTCTATTTCCAATGTTGAGATTTTTACAGCAACAGCTGCTTTTGTTTGATTGTTAATAAAATTAGATAAACTGGAACAACCTATTTTTAAGTTTATTGTTACTTACAAATGTAAAATTTCTCAATCTTCCTTATACAAGTGAACTCATAAACTCCTCTTTAATTACTGTATTGGATAAATTACTTACTTAATTTATTACATATCTATCCACCATACAAATCTATCAGATCCTCCAAACCCCACAATGGACTTGACAAAGTTTTTAACATAAATTGTTTCACCAACAATTAGTAAACACACCTGAAACTTCTACATACTAGATGTACTTTCATAGGTTTTCTGTTTCAAGAGTAAATAAAACCAAAATTAAGAGTAACACTTTTATTTCTTACTTTTGAAGTTCATGTGTCATGCTGTGTTGTAAGCTTACAGAGTGCATAATTCTTCTCATGATTCATGCCATGTGCACATTTTACCGACGTCATGACAGTACAAATTGCAATTTTAAGCATCTCTTGGGTGAGATCATTTTAGTGTCTATTGGCTGACTAAAAAACAACACAATAATGTATAGCGGTGCGAGTAGATAAAAAAGGCGACTCTCTTCAGGTGGCCTTCAGCCCCCTTTTGTGGAAATTATTTAACATCATAGCTAACACTGGCATGAATGTTTGAATTTATTTATTTATTTATTTTTGCATAAAATAAGCAAATGTTTATGGGATAATACAAAATACAAACAGTAACTCCGTACAATTTTTCAGCTAATTTCTGTTTTATAATTAGAAAATTAGTGCTAATTCAATAACAAGTCACATGAAACTATACATTGCTGCTTGGTAATTTGTACCAGACAAATTAAAATTTTACTAATTGTAACACTGATACAAGAGAACACACTTTTGTAAAAGTTAGTGAGAATTCACTTCCTATGGATGAGTATACAAGTACTTGTAGGCTTTCCCATATTGAGGCACATGCCTCCTTACACATTTCTCATGCACTAACATATAATAATGTGATTATTAATAAAGCAGGCAACATTATATGGGTGGGGTCCTAACACATTGAAAATATTATTTAACCCTTTGAATGTGATAAACCTTTAAACCCCTTTCTGCACATGTTATGAGATTTTACTGAGTTAAATTCAAAATTTAATTAAACCACTTTTCTATAAATGTATTTTAATGAAATTACTATTATCAAGTACATTATAATTTAAGGTTTTGTATTATCTAAGTTTTATTCCTTTATTTTAAAAATAAAAATCTGAAATAGCAATTAAAACTGCAGTTTGTGATCCACTGTGGTTAAAATTCTCAAGTTTAAGAGGTCTTACAAAAGGAAATTATGAGTTCCTAATAATAGACTGTTTGTATAGACGGTCAAAGTACAGTTCCAGCTGTCTCTCATCAATTGGGGGGCAAACTTTCAAGATATTCTCCCAGTATGAAACAACATTCTAATGTTTCTAAGTTTAAGGTCAGCCATACCCACTTGCAAAGTCAAAGCTGTGTTGTTAAATGACACTTTGAAGTTGAATGACATGTTTATAACCAATAGAAAGAACAGATTTTGCACTATTCAGTTACAACCTGAAGAAACCTCTTCCTATTTATGGATCTGTAGTATGAAACAGAAAATAAGCTTAGCCTTATATTCTCATGAGGGATATGTAATGTTTGGCAAGTGTTTCTCACCTTATATGTATTAGTTTGCTAAACAGTTAGATTCCATTTAGGTTTTACATTTACATCTTAATTAATTATGTATATATTTGTGTTTTAAAATGCATATGTGAAATGTTTATGATTTTTATACATTTAACTTGTTGTAGTTTGGCTTACCAAAATGTCTGAGCAAGATGGTGTCATTCTTGTGTGCGAGCGTAAGTGTTTGAACTTGTGCATGAGACTCACCCTATAATAAACAACAGAGTACCGCGCTGGATATGTTGTGGATTTTGGGATAATGAATAAAAGACAAAGAATTGGAAAGGAAAATTAAAATTAAACTACAAGTGAAAATATAAAGACGTGAAATTATACATATGACAAAAAGAAATATGAAAACTATTCTTTAAAAGGCATGTACTCACTTCCATTTCTTAATTTTAAACATTTTATTGCTCTGTACGTTGATGATGATATCTGGAGTTAATTATATAACAGAGAAAATAGAAAACAAAATATAAACATTTTCCTTAAAAACTTTTGATTTCTATTTAGGAGGTTCTAAAGATTATGTAAATGAAATGTGAAAACTGAGAGATAAGAAACAGTACTTTTATATATTTTTATACACATTGCATGTGAACTATTCAGATTAAATAGTGAATGTTTTATCATAAATAGTAGAAAAAAATCAATATTAAATATTTTATTTTTTTAAAAGTACATAATCTTAGGACTGTTCAAATCAAATTTAAAACTATTTCATCAACTAGTTTCATTTTTATAAAGAACTTTCATGAAAGTCACATACCTACTTACAATGTAAGTAGATCATAGTCTAAGGGTTAGTGCTTATTTTAGTATTCACACAGCATATTAACTCTCTCCACACAGGCTCGGTCAATTTGACCAACCATGTGACCTTTTTGTACTGGCATAGAGTCTTTATAGATCTGATACTACTAACTTTTGATTTAGTGTGTATATCTTCACGAAATTTGGCATACTTTCAGTAATAAGCTTTTCACATACGAAAAATATTTTTAGTGAAGCTTTTTTAATAAACTCAAAAAAGATTTGTCCTTGATTATACTGATAAATAGTATGTGTGCAAAGTGATATTCATGTTAATAATGGTTGGAGACGGCTTGAATGGGTAATGAAGAAAAACTTTAATATAAGTTTAACATAACAGCAAATG